TGCCAGGTGTGGATCTCCTTTGATGTGCTGTGCTGCACTGCCAGCATCTGGAATGTCACAGCCATCGCCCTCGACCGCTACTGGTCCATCACCCGCCACCTGGAGTACACGCTCCGCGTCCGGCGACGCATCTCCAACATCATGATTGCCCTCACCTGGGTGCTCTCTGCCTTCATCTCCTTGGCCCCGCTGCTCTTTGGCTGGGGAGAGACTTACTCAGAGGACAGTGAGGAATGCCAAGTCAGCCAAGAGCCTTCCTACACCATCTTCTCCACCTTTGGCGCCTTCTACCTGCCCCTCTGCGTGGTGCTCTTTGTGTACTGGAAGATCTACAAGGCTGGTAAGTTTCGCATTGCAAAAATTCCATCACCCCCATTACACCAGAAGGCCTGGAGGTAGGTCAACTCAGTTGTACTTTGCTTTAGTTAACTGCTGGTAGCAACCAAGCCCTTGCAGCAGTGGGGGAAAACTTAGAGCTAAAGTATGCAAGCAGACAGCATCCCACTGAAGCCTGGTGAATCTTGAAGGCTTTCAAGGGAAAGTTGACTGCTAAGCTTGCAAGCCCAATCTTTTGACTCCTTCTGAGTCCCCAGCTGTGAGCATGCAAGGTGTAGCTAAAGAAACTTTGGGCTAGATTGCAAGCCTGAGCTCCACGTGGGCGTGTGGTGACTCACAGACGTCCCCCCGTGGAATGCTGAATCAGTGCTCGCGAGCGTGAGTAAGGGGTCACCGTTCCTCCCGTGGGGAGACACGTGGGGGTGTGAATGGATGTGATCCCATCTCCGCTGGGCCCGACAACTTGACAAGCAGCTGTGGCTTTGGGGAGGTTGTAGATTTACCCACACAGAAGACACACGTGCACAGCATCCTTGTAAATCCTTCCTAATCGTGGCTGCGTCGTGTCAGTTCATCCCAGGCACGGTGACTGTGCACTGTGAAGCCTTCTTGGGGGGACGGAGGAAATGGATGCGCATTTTCTTGCCTGTCCTGACAAGAACTCTTAAACTTAGTGGGTTCAGAGAAAGCAAGGAGCCCTTGGTGCATGGCATGTGGACATGTGCCTGTTCTACTGATCTGATTGTAAATATGGAAATAATCTTATCGCGACGCTAAGTGAACAATTCCATGTACCCATAGATCACTACTCTCTTTAGGTTCTAGCCTCACTTAAAAATAGACTCTCTGTAACCCAGAAAAGGGTCATACAGCCCCTCTCCCTCCATTAGAGCATGACGTAGATGGCCCGTGTTTCCCCCTGAGCTCTGGCCATCACTTGCATAGTTTGGTTGTGTACCTGCTGCGTGGGATCCGCTGACTGAGGCACATATGGTACAACTTGTGTTTGTGTTTGGCAGGTAAAAGAAGCTGCCCAGCAGCCACAGATGGTCTTCACTGTCCGTCATGCCACCGTTACGTTCCAGACAGACGGAGACACGTGGAGAGAGCAGAAGGAAAGGAAAGCTGCGCTCATGGTGGGCATCCTCATTGGGGTCTTTGTGCTCTGCTGGATCCCCTTCTTCATCACGGAGCTCATCAACCCCCTCTGCTCGTGCGACATCCCACCCATTTGGAAGAGTATTTTTCTATGGCTAGGCTATTCAAATTCATTTTTTAATCCACTCATCTACACTGCTTTTAACAAAAACTACAACAATGCCTTCAGGAACCTATTCTTTAGACAGCACTGAGCAGACAAAGCTTTCCTGCTGCCCCAGGAACCTGATTTCAACTCTCAATTACTCCTACCAAACTCTTGAGGAAGCGCAAAGCCACAGACACGGAGGTGATTCTGAAGACTCATCCCCATGGGTTGTATGTCCCAGCCACTGTCCTGGTTCCTACGCAGATTCTCCAACCCAGCCTCTAAGTTGGTCGCTATTTCTCCTGCAAACAGCATGTAAGGGTTTCTCTGGCCAACAGCACACCATTCCTCCTCCAGTGCCCCACTGCTTTCCTCCCGCCTTCCCAGTGATGTTCTTCGGACTGCTTAGTGGCAGTAATGGGGTAGAGAAGTCTTCTGGCAGAGTCCTATTTGAAACTCTGGTTTGGCCACTGCTAGTCTCTCACAGCATTAATCAACTTAATGTCAGGAGGTTTTGTGATTGTATAGAAAACTAGATACTTTATGGCTTGGTTGAAGAGGCTGTTTGTCTTGTCTTTCACTGGTAGAGATTGTGAAGTGTTTGTATTTGGGGAATAAAGCCCTCAGTAAGGGTTAAAAACAGACTCCAATGCCTTTTCTCACGTGCTTTATCGACAACAAATTGTGCTATTTGCTATTGGATACCGTGTAGCCAGTTTTTAAAAAAAAAAATATTTCTTGTGAAAGCTTAATGCACGGTGTACCCTGGAATGAGGGAGAGTGCATGGGAAATCCACCTCTCATTCTCTGACTGCTACCTGTGAGCATCTGCCTCGGACCTTTACTTTTAGAAATACCAACTGTAAATGTTAATCTTTGTGTCCTTGTTTCCCATTCTAAACCTTAAATGTATTTTGAGTAGCTGTGGGGCAGGTTTCCTGTAGTTGCAGGGGATGCAAGGAGTATATTTCAAATTGCCTGTCAATGAGGAGCTGTGTTGTATGAGTGCGATTCAGGTCTTCTTGAAACCAAAACTAAGACCCCATTTTGTTTCTGCGAGCAGGCAAAGAGTAATGGCCAGTGATGTTTTATTCTAGAAGCATGACCAAACCATAGAGGTGCTCTTCTGCAAGGACCAGACTTTAATTCTTCTTTTGCCCACCCCTTCTTCTCTTCCTCCCCACTAAGGCTCCAGTCCTGCCTGGTTGTTATTGCTTTGTTGCCTCCCTGCCTTTCCATGTTGCCAACAGTATTATAGTAGTTGGCATTTCACTCCTAGAATTAAAATTTTGCACTTTATGCTGCTCTGCTGCAAGGCTGACAGGCCTTCAGATAAAGAAAAGCATTAGTTTTAACTATTGGTTCTTATGGGGCAGCCACTGAAATAAGACCAGAACTGAAATGGTGGAGGAAAAGACAAGATGGGAATCAGTATGACATTATTTCATGTCAGATATCTCAGGAAGAAGAGATAAAAGGGGAAAATGTCAATAAATCATGGGAAAGCTCTCTGGGGTGGATAGGATTAGTCCCTATCCTTAGTGAATCGTGAGACAACTGATGTTAAAATTGTCACTGCTCCTTCAAACCAGTCAAAAATCCTGGTAGAGTTGGTAAAAAAAGTCCTTTTTTTTTCATATCTTGGGACAGGTGAAAATGGAAGCAGAGCTCAAGGTGCTATCAAGTGTTACAGCTCTTTCAGGACCAGTTAGACAAACATCCATCAGGACTGACACAGATGTAGCTGATCTTGCCTTGCGGCAAGAAAAGAGATAGGATGGCCCTGGAGATCTTTTTCAACACTGTTTTATATAAGTCTGTTAGAAATATTAGGTAAAATCCTGCCCTTGAAAGCAATGGACAAATTCTCAGTGACTTCAAGCAAATCAGAATTTTTTCCAGCATGTCTTGTCTTATAAAAGCAGTTTTAATGTTAATTAATTCAAGGAGAAGATGGGTAGGATGGGAGCAATCTTCTAATTCCCCTGAAAGAGTCTCTGATCTTTGCTCACCATGGACCAATCCCTACAGCTGGCAAAGAGCATTTTCTGTCTTTTTTACATGTTTTAAAGTATTACCAGTGGCATCTTTTGACATACCGAAAATTGTAATAGACTCTTGGGCTGCTTTTTTTTACTGAGGATATAAAGGTTGCATTGCTTTCTCTGGACAGTCCATCACCAATGCAGAGTTGTTCCTTTTGGGAACCTACTACTTTTGTTGTGTCAAGGGCTGTTTAGCCAAAAATGAGTTCCCTTGCCCAGGCCAGACCTTCAGCTAAGCTTGATAGTGCTAGTAAGTAGGAGACTGCTTGTTAGGCCACCACAGCAACACTCTAAACACTAAAGTGTGGATTAACTGCGAAGTTGAACTTTAGTTCACAATTCTAACACAAAACATCATGTCTACACAACCCTGTGTCAGTCCAGGCTGTATCCAGCCCCATTTTTATTTACTCTTTTAGTATTGTAGAATCTCTCTCTCAAGAGGAAATAGCCCCAAGTTGTGCCAAGTGAAGTTTAGATTGGATATCAGGAAGAATTTCTTTGCTGAAAGGGTTCTCAGGCATTGGAAGGGGTTGCCCAGGACAGTGGTGGAGTCCCCATCCCTGGAAGTATTTGAAGCGTAGTGTAGACATAGTGCTGAGGGACATGGGTTAGTCAGGGACTTGTCAGTGTGAGGTTAATGACTGGACTCAATAGTCTTAAAGATCTTTTCCAATCTAGGCAATTCTGTGATTCTGTGTTGTGTGGGATCTTTGCACGGGCTGTGGAATCAACTGAAATTTGTATCCTGTGTAAGCAGACAAAAATTGAACTGAAATCCATGGGAAAGATCCCTACTTTTGCTGCAGCTGGGTACTGGGATGAAGCCCTATCCTGGGTTTATTCATGCTATGCCTTAAGAGGTGACAAGCAGACAGGAGAGAATCTTAAAATGACACTAAATAATTCTAATTTGTCTATGGCAATAGATAGTTCACCATCCTGATTTAAATTACATCCACATTTATTAAATAACCCACATCCCATGCAATCCATACTGATCTACTGCAAATAACAGCTTCCATTTGGTCATCAGTTTTATTCCTTTGAATCATGACATAATTAGCAGCTACATTATGGACCAATTCCTACTGCTCTTATTTGAGTCTGAAGACCATTGGCTTTTCTTCTAAATGCTATTCCTGCAATGTGATCTGATCATGCAGGACAAATATCAGTATTCTGGAGATTGTGCTAAAGGATCATATCAAAACATGCCATGATGGTCCAAGCACAGTGAAGGTGCACAAAGAATCCTTGACTTCTGATCCTGGCTCCGAGGCTTTTTACAAACCTCTCAATATTCAAACAGAGATGTCAAGTGGGCTCCCAGAGACCCAAATCATGTTTGAAGACATACACAACCCTAGCTTCAAAGGATGTATCTTGTACCTTCTTGTTCCCATTTATAAAACAGAATCAGTGGTGTGAAGAGATCTGCCTCACCGAGGCTTTGTGAAGATTAATTAGTAAATGTTTGCCATGTACCAGGAAGGTGGAACACTCTGAAAAAACGAGCAGCATTATAAACTGGGCTTCTATTAAATTCCTCGGAAGAACATTATTACCCATTACTATTGAGTTTCCTGTGCAATTTAATGGCTATATAATACTTCCAGAAGAGATTTAACTAACCGTCTTCCACTTACAATTAATTTATTTTCCTCTCGATGCTCTGACAGTTCAATGAACATCTGTGTGGGATCTCGATAGCTAGGCCAACAACGGCGCGTGCTGAATGCTGTCTGCTGAGCGTCTCCTCGCAGCGCTGACTGCATATTGTCAAGGTTCAAGGAGCAGCAGCTCTCCAGGCAGTCTGCTACTGTCTTTCCTTTATTTTTTAGGGAGAAGAAAAGGTCACAAAAGAATGCTCTTGGATTACATAACAGGCTGGCTGACCACCTTCCTCCTCCACCCCCATCCCGTTGACCTTTCTTCTCAGTGCTGGCAGGTCAGGCAGGTGACTCCAGGACATGCATGGATCCTGTACAGCCAGAGGTGGGCCACACATGACTTCATCCCCTGTTAATTTGCCTGGACTTTTCCTAAAAATTACTACTGGCAGATGTGGCCTTTAAACTGGCAGCGACAGCTGAAAGTGGGTGTTTCCTGAAAGTAAAGATGCAGGCAATTAAGGAAATTTCACCTGACAAAAGGTAATTAATGACTATTAGTTCCAGCAACTGCTGCAGTGAGGTACGACTGACAAAGTGTCAAAGTGATTTTTGCAATGTAGTGATTTGAGCTGCTTTGTTCGTGAGGGGCTCGTCACCGTTTTACTCTTGGATCCCTTATTTTACCTGCATTGGTACAGCAGCAAACTGGGACACCAGCAAAGTCATGGTGAACATGATATTCTCACTTATGCTCCAAGTGGGAACAGTAAGGTAAAACATCCACGGCAAAATCTGCAGCCCCACTGCCATACCCCCTGGCTGAACATTATGAAACTGCCAGAATATTCATGGAATTTAAGAGGTGGCCAAAGAGCTCTTTAAATCACTATTATTTTCAGTAACACTGAAGTGCTGAGGAAGTTGCAGAAGACTGGAAGAGAGCTTGTGCCAGTATTTTAAAAAGGCAAATTGGGGGAGCCAAGTATTTATAAGGCTAATGCTATTACTGATTTACAGCTTGAAATTGATTCTTGGCAAAAAAAGTGGAACAGCTGATAAAGGGCTCAATGAGTAAAAAGTTACAGGAAGTAAATATAATTAAAATAAATCGCATTGATGTCTTTCTTTGATTGCAGCACATGGCTCATTGCTGATGGTGATATAAAGTGTTCATTCCTCAATAATGAATCTGACTTGACAACACTCAACACTTCCATGAAAAAGTGAAGAAGAAATCAATATGAGGTTCAAACTGTCCAATGTTTGCTAATGACTCATGGACTGGAAAAGGTGTAAATACAGAAAATGAAGTCACTTGTACAGAGAAATGAGGATGCAAACTGGCCGGGGGCATGTGGTCCAGTGTGAGGGAAAGGCACACACCCAGGAGCAGTGGGATGGGACCTTCCTTGCTGGCAGGGAGGCACGGCTGTGTTGGGGTGCAT